ACTTTTTGGCGCCCCAAAGCCTTACCGGGAGAGGTGGAGGGGCTGCGAGCGTCCCTCGGCAGCCCCCGCGCTCGGTGATCCCACCAGGCTGCCCGCGCGCTGCGTTGTGCTGCGAGGGCTGGAGCTCATGCCGCGGTGGGAAACCTCCCCATTCCTCCTCCCGGCATGGGGCCAGCGGGAAGGAGGCCCCCAGCTCATGTTTCACCACTTGCATGTCCTCTCCCTGAACCCGGCGCCACTGGAGCCGAGCTCTGCAGGCACCAGGGAAGCTGTTTTCCCAACGCCACTGGCAAGAGCAGGCTCCTTCGCCCCATCTGTCAAAGCCAGGCGAAGAGGAGGCTGCTCCCAGCTGGGCTCTGCAATGCCTCCAGTGCGCCTCCCACTCTCCTCCCTGAAAATCACAACTCCCTATCTGGAGTGAGACCTTAGTTCATGTGTATCTTTGCTGTCTTCTTCCCGGAAAAGCTTGGGACAACGAGACAAGGTGACCTTAGGGGCTGTCTGGACTAGCAGGGCTCAGCTGAGGTGTCTAACCACAGCAAGCAGCCCTGGTACACTCTGATGCCACCACGACGTGACACTTACAGGTTCCTGCTTTGTTTCTTGCGGGAGGTCTCGTCCCCTTCGTCGCAGCTGCATTCAGGGTCAGCTCCGCTCAGCTGTGGGGGGGAACAGAAAGACAGCATCTGCATCACCACGTCAGTGCACGCCCACAGCAGCACTCCAAGTGTCACCAAACAGCACTGCCAGCAACCCCTGTGGCCCCTGTGCCCACCCAGCCCAGAGCCATGGCATCCACAGGGCGCCTTGCCCACCACCACAGCTGGCTGCGGCAATGCACTGGGACAAGCTCCTCTCCGCTCTGGCACGGGAACCTGACTCCCCCCACCCATCCCATGCCACCTCCAGTTCACGGAGTTCCTGGAGCATCTAAGGAGAGACCAGGGCTGGTGGCCTAGGTACCCCTCCAGGTTCAAGACACTGACAGTGGTACCTCCTATGGGAGGTACCCACATCCCCTTTCCCGATGCTCCTATTCCTTCTGTCTTGAGTGGGCACAGGGGCCCCTCCCCAGCCCGCAGAGCACCTTGTCCCCTCAGAACCAGGCTGGGCACCCAAAATCAATCAGGGGGCCCCCAGCAGTCCCCAGGCAGGAAAAATCGGAGCAGTTCAGCCATAACTGAATCATCTCATGGCAGCTTTCAAGTCCAAGGAGCACCCAGAGGGCTCCACTCCCTGACCACTGCCCCGGGGGCTGCCTGGGCAAACCAAGGGGACCTCAGTTGCACCATGAGCTCGTGGCAGCACCAGCACAGCCCCCGAGCCACGAAGCCTGGGGCCAGGCGTGGAGACCCCTGGGACCCCCACAGCTCGGGGGCTTGAGCAATTCATCCGTTACTGAACGAGACTGGAAGATGCTCGCAGCCGGCCCAGCAGCCAGTTTGGCCCCGCACCCAGCTCAGCCCCGCACTGCCGGGGGGCTGCAGGGCGCTTTCCAGGATCGCCGCCCCGCGGCCGTGCCGTGGGAACCCGCTGCACAGCCCCGCAGCCCTGGGCTCGAGGCTTTTGACACTTCCTTCTATTCTGCACCCGGGTTTCCGGAGTTTATCAGCCCCGAACAATACAGCCCTTGCAAAGCACCTTCCCCAACCAGATAGGGCCCCGGCAGGCGGGCTGGCCAGGGCGACACACAGCCGGAGCATGTTTCCTGCCATTGTCCAGAGAGGCTCCACCGTGCTCGGGGACAAAAGGCAGCAGCAGAGCTCACCCCAGGAGTCCCAGCACTCCCGGCCACAATACGCTCTTAAAACAACCACCTCCCAGCCCCGACTGCGGGAAGGAGGGGAGCAGGGAGGCACACTGGGCATGACGGCGTTAAAACGGCCAACAAAATGAGCTCCTCTGAAATGTTCCCTGAGGGAAAAAAAAGAAAAAACACCACCTTGATGGACGCTGTGGACCTGCCGCTGAGGCCACGGGTGCAGGTATCGCCAGTGTTGGGCAGCTTGGTGCTGCTGCTGGAGGGGAATTGCACATCAGTGTCCTGCTCCAGAGGCCTCGGAGGGTTTCATCGAACTAGTTAAAAGGCACAGCACAACGAAAGTCCCTCCAAAGCGCAGGCAGGGGGATGGCAGTAGCCCAAAACCCAGCACATGTGGGGACCCAGCTCTGTGCCCGGCTCCCTGACCTGCTGCAGCCCCCAGGCAGCCTCGGTCCCTCTGCAGGCAGGGCAACGGGAACAGGCGGGGGGGCAGGAGGGCATATGGGCAGGGGGTTAAGGCACTGGCCATACAGAGCTACTGTAGGGCTGGAGGTGGGAGCACCAGGGGGTCCAACGGCCAAGCTGCCCTCACCGCTGGCACAGGATGCCCCAGTCCCTGCTCCAAAAACACCTGGTCTCATCTGCACCAGAGCAGCTTAGTCCAGGAGGAGCTCAGATTAACTCTGCTGAAAAACACCCACTCAGATCAGCCCAGAAAGTGCAAGCTGGGGGTCTCTGGGGCGGGAGTGGGGTACGTTCCCCAGGTCTCCCCCAGCAGCAAGCACGCAGCCAGCCTGGTCTCAGCCAGCGCTGCAGAGCTGCGCACTCCCAGGCTGCACGCACAGCGGCACTGTGAAACCTCTTTCCAGGAGGCTCATCGCTGGCAGCCCTAATGGGACTCTCTCACCAGGCACTGACACTGCCACCACCTCCCTTGCGTCTGAACGGGTGTCCCTGCCACAAACGTGTCCTTTCTTGGCAGGATCTGGGAGGGGGTCTGAGCCCCCCAGCCCACCTTTGCTGGCATCAGCCTCTAAGAGAGTTTGGGCGATGCTTTTGCACAGCAGCCCCATCTGACCAGTCTGTCAGACTTGTAAGGGCTCTCACCAGCTTGCCGGGGACTCTGAGCCCAAAAAAGTGCTCCAGGAAACAGCACCAGAGGTGGCTTTTCAAGCAGCATGAGCCTGGCAGGAAGAAGGTTAACGTCATCATGGGTTTAACCCCATCATGCTGCCATGTTTGGTGACATGCAGGGCTCCCTACGAGCCTCTCCTGCCAAGAAGCCAGCCACCATGGAGCATCACGCAATGTGGCCCTGCAGTCTGCAAGGTGGTCCCCAGCAGCACGACATGGTCCTGAGCCATGCAACAAGGTCCTGAGCTGTGCAACATGACCCTGAGCAACGCAATGTGGTCCTGAGCCAAGCAATACAGCCCCGAGTAGAGCAGTACCCACAGCCACTGGCAGAGACTAAGCTGGCGTGAGCTTGGTCTGGCAGAGCAGGGTGCTGGGCCAGCGCTGCAGGAAGGCAGAAGGGTGCTCTCAGCACCCAGACAGGCTTCACCCTGGGAGAACGGGGCAAGCAGCACTTCTCATGCACAGTCTTTGCCACGGCACATTGTTTCCTGCAAAAGTAGAGCCAAGGCAAGCTCTGCTCCAGGGGGCATGGGGAGCACTGCAGACCACCGGGCTTGTGAGCTGCTGCATAGCCCACGGCTGCTCCTCCTTTCTGCATGTCAGGGTCAGAAATCACTGCTGACCTCAACCTTCTTCTGAGATGGGCCCTCCACAACAGTGAAAGCCCTGCAAGAGGCTGGCTGGGGCAGAAAGTCACCCTGCTCCTGGCATCTAAGAGCACACCAGGGATCCTGTGTCACCAGAGGCTCTCTGCAGCCTGGCTTTTTCTGTCCCCACTGCTTCCAGCAGCTCTTTGCAAGTGCAGGCACCCAGATGCACGTCTCCCTCCACCGGTCTCAGCAGACAGTGGCTCCCCACGACACGGAACCCTGCAGGATCTGGATGCACTGGTGGGAGTTGCCCACGCACAGCACCAGCACACCGGCTCTGTGTGACATCTCCCAGGTGCTAAGCATCTCCCAGAGTTGACTGCCAGTAGCAGGGACCTTCCTGGCCCCTCAGATGCCAGCTTTGCCATGGCCATGGAGAGAGGGGCCACATGACAGGACACCTCTAGCCCAGGAGCTCCCCATCACCACAGCCAAGCAGGAGCCGGCTGCTCTGTGGGGCCAGCACCAGCTCACGTACCTTCCTGTGGCCCGAAAACAGCAGGGTGAGCTGGTGGATGGAGCCGCCGTTTTTGGTGAGCTCTTTCTTGATGGTCCTGGGGGAGGGCAGGGCCCAGTGGCCCTTGGTGCCCTGGCTGTCCGAGCAGTTGAGGGTGGTGTCAGAGGTGAAGCAGTGGCTTTTGGCCTCCTGCAGCAGGCTGCCCTCGCTGTGGGTCCGGCGCCGCAGGGAGCTCTGCACGCTGAGCGTGTAGACGGGCTGACAGCCCGACGTCTCGATCATGCTGCTGCGCTTCACCTCGTTCCTCTCCAAGTACTGCTCGTCACTGTCCTCTTCCTCCTCCTCCTCATCTTCCTCCTCCTCGTCCTCCTCCTCATCCTCCTCCTCATCCTCACCCTCCGTGGTGCTGCCCACCATGCCTGCCGCACTCTGGCTGAAGGTGCTGTCAAGCCGCAGCTCGGGGATGACAAAGGCTGGCAGGGAGCTGGGCTGCTCCTCTCCCTTCTCGGTGGCCCCCGGCTGCTTTTCTGCCAGGAGAGGACCCTGGGTGGCTCCCAGAGCCTCCCAGGGCTCGGCCGGAGCTGATGCCTCTGCAGCTGGAGGAGCATCACCTGCCGCCGCTTTCCTGTCCTCCGAGTGCATCTGCCCTGGCTTCTCAGCGTCCGTCTCCAGCATCTGCCCAAAAGAGAAGATAAATAAGGATGAAGGTAGAACCACTCCAAATCTCTTGCTGGCCACCTTCCTGGGGAGCCTTTTCACACCTAACACCCCAACCACAAGGCTGGCACCAATTTATGTAGCCCTAATGGTGCTCTGGTGGGGTGGGACAACATTGTCCCCATGTCCCCATGTGGTGGCAGGTCACCCATCACTCCCACAGCACAAAGCACTGGTCCTGGTCCCTGGAGCACAGGGTTCCCCCACCAGCAGCAAGCTGGTTGCTACAGAGCAAGAGTGGGATGAGGCTACCCAGCTCCCACCTCCAGCGCCCAGCAGCACCAGTGGGTTTCGAGGAAACCAGCGAGGGACAGTGGCAGGTGGCTCAGCCCGACAGCACAGCCAGGCTTGACGCTGGCCGCAGAGGCAGAGCTGGTAACATCATCCTTGCACTTGATGGCTCCACCGTCCCCCTGAGAGCTGCTGAGGGGGCTCAGCCCTGCAGAGATCTTCCCGGAGGTCGGCAGGGTGGCAGAGAAAACCAGCAGCTCTTGTCCGGCAGCTCCAGCCCCTCCTGCATCGTATTATTAAATTCAGAAGGGAAGCACGGAGCTCTCCTCATCTGTGGATTGCCCAAGCTCAGCCGAGCTGCAGCCACGAGCGGCTCGACCTCCCTGACCGGGGGACCCCCCACGCTGTGGTCTCCGCAGACATGGCCCCGCAAAACCATAACTGCTCCTACCAGCCCCTCTCGTTTTTTTAAGCCTTCTGGGCTGTTTTTCACCAGCTACCCTTTGCAGCTGGGAAAGACCTGAGCAAGCTCTGTCCTTTCAAAGGGAAAAGCCAAGAGTATTCCAAGGGAAAAAGCCTCCGAGGATTTTTTGTAAGCAGGGGGAGCCTGTGATGATCTTCCCCTGTCAGAGCTGGGTCCTCTCTTCCGTGTGATTTTTCCCTTTGCACAGAGCCCATCCAAGCCAAAGGGGCAAAACCAGCTCAGCAGGGGAGAAAGACCAAAGCAGAGAAAAAGCCTCCCTCTGGGAAGCAATCCCCGCCTACGCAGACCCTGTAGGGCTGGGGCAGGGGTTATCATACAGGACCAGCTCCAGGTAACAAGTGACCCAGAGAAAATGTCACTGTATCCCCAGTTAAGATCCAAGCATTTTCATGAGCCTGATGGCAACCAGAAAGCTCTTAAGCTAACAAAGCCACCACCCCTGTATAAATTAGGTTGGCTTCAGCTTCAAAA